CGAGGTTCCAAGTCAATTCAAGCTACGGCTGTTTTGGGGTGTTCGGATTCACCCTTCTATTTCTGTTTTGTAATAAATGTTATAGACTCCTACTGTACAGTTATGGCATCACTGTTTATATATATATATATATAGGTGTCCAGGCACCGGACGGGAACTAAGAACGTCGGGTTAGCTCTTATTTTGTCAAGCCAACCTTTGTGCCTCGCCTCGAGGTTCCAAGTTCGTTCAAGCTGCGGTTGTTTTGGGGTGTTCGGATTCACCCTTCTATTTCTGTTTTGTAATAAATGTTATAGACTCCTACTGTACAGTTATGGCATAGGGATTGAATCCCAAACTTGTATGTATGTATATCTGGTATGTAAATGTGTTTTGTTTACGAATGTGACTTGTTCATAAAAGTCTTTTTACATTCGGACTGTCACAGCTCATTGGACAACTTTTATTTACTGTTTTGGCTTCCGCCAATCCTTTTATTCTGTATTACTGTCATTACTATTAAGCAGGCCTTTGATAATCACGGATTACTGGCCGGTTACGATGCTAAACCCATAGGGGCGGGTCTGGGTCTGGGTCGTGACACTGCCGTCCACCGCCGCTGTCTTTCCTCTCCTCTTCCTCCTCATTCTCATCCTCCTCTTATTCTTCTTCCTTTGCTTCCTCTTCTCCGCTGTCCACCATCTACTTTTGCCCTCCTCATTCTCTTCTTCTTCTTCTTCCAAAACCTTAACCCTAAATCTATAGTTTTTAGAGCTGTGGTGGAAAGTGATGGCAGTAGCGTTGGGTCGCAATCTGGGTTTGTGGCAGTTGGTTGCGATCTGGGTCGCGATCGAAAGAAGAAGAAAAAGAGGATGAGAAGGAAGATGATGAGAGAAAGGGGACGAATGGCGAGAGAAGGAAAGGAAGAGGAAGTGAGGAGGCTGGAAAGGGTAATGGGTTCAGAGAGACCCAATTTTTGCACCATAATCCAATACCTTATTTGCTTTGGGTAACAATGACTATGGTTCGATTTTGATTTATGTTGGGTTTGATTTTGCACTATTTTTTTTTTAAGAGGTGTTGTTGATGGTGGCTATCCAACTTCTCACTTGAGTAATTGTGGATCAAAGATTGAGTTGAGTATGGATATCTACCTATTCAGTTTTTGTTTTTGGTTTTGAATGCTCATAACTTTCTTTGATATGGCATCCTAGATTATTAAATGGGGTTGTTTGCCAATGTCTCCATGTGGGTTTGGGTTTATATTTAGCAGAGGACTTAGGTATGAGAATGGATATGTATATGATTTTGGGTCATGTGATTTGTGTTGTTTTACCTTTCACAGTTAGCCATTCCCTTGACATAATCAAAATTAACAAATTTGTTTAAATGCCATATGGTTCTTTTCTCTTTTTCTTGCTAGATATTTGGATGACTAACTTGGTTTTTCATATCCAAAAAGTAAAAAAGAAAAGATTATACATTAGTGGGCTGAATTTGGATCTATTATATATTCTTTAATATGGTGGCTAGTGTCTCAATCGTGTTGAGGCTTGTGGTGGTTGGTGGTGAGATTAGGATATGGATCTTTTGTAGTGGTGGTGCTTCTTCTTTTTTTTTCATTATTTAAATTGAAGGGTGTTTCGGTGGTGAGTTTGTGCAGTGGTAATAGTGGTTTGGAGGTTGCAGAGCTGGTAGAGCATGGGGTTTACTGGTGGCATAGTTAGGCTAATAACAATGATGGCCATGTTGTAGGTGTTGTGTTGTTGCTTTTATAACCGTGGTAATTACGGGGTTTTTTTTTTTTTTTTGTGTGCGCGCGCGTATGTGTGAGAACAAAAGTCAAAAAAAATGAATAAATCTTGATATTGCTAATTAAAATATGAGTGATTTATGTAGTTATTAAAATTACATGGTAGATATTTGTATTTATCAAAAATCATAAGCATAATTTATCTATAAAAAAATGAAAACCAAAAGATAAGAACACGTGTTCAATTTTAGCACTTTGAGTGCTCGTTTGGCATGTGGATTTGGGTTAGGTCGAGATTATTTTAATCACAAAAAGATAAAATAGATTTTTTAGTCTGAGGCTAAAAGTTATCATATCTAAATCATAATTTTTTTTCTCACAAAAATAAAAAATGTCAAAAAATTTATTCCAAACAAGATTATTTTAGCCCAAACTAAAATAACTAAAAAACTATTTTTTTTTAAACTAGGGTAAATTACAAATATACCCCTTGAGATTTGCTTAAAATACGAATTGCCCCCTGTGATTTGAAAAATTACAAATATCTCTCTGTCATAATTTTTTATTTAACAGAATTAATTAAAAAATTGAAATTTCTAACTGTTCACCTATACAATAATAAAATTATTTGAATTATTAATTGAAATAAAATTTTAACATTATTAAAAACTATTAAAAAATGGTGGCGGGTGGTGGCTAGTGTTGGGTGGTAAAAAAAAAATTCAAAACTCAAAACTTAAAACGGAAACACATTTTTTGTGTTTTAATTTTTTGGCCAAATTTATAAACTGAGTCCACTGATTTATAATTCAAAAATTTTACCAAACAAGTTTTTATTTGAGTTTTTAAAATTTTTGTAAATATAAACAGAAAACAGAAAACGTAAGTATTACCAAACGACACCTAAGTGTTACCAAACGGCACCTAAGTAACTTGATGATTTATTAATAAAAAAACCTATTTGTTATGAAATTAGAAACCTTAGGGGGTATAATGTAATTTCTAAAACTATAGGGAATAATTTATAATTTAAATAAACCTCAGGAGATGTGTTTGTAATATACCCAAAAAACTAACTCACATCGAGCTAGGTTCGGACTGGGTATAAGAAGTTTCGGAAGCATGTTGTTTAGGGATGTAAGAAAAACCGACAAACCGATTGAACCAGACCAAACTAGCTATATTTGGTTTGTTTTTTAAAAAGAATCAGTCTGTGCGGTTTTTAAATTTGAATTTTTTTTGTTTTCGGTTCGGTACGGTTTAAGCACCTTGTGCACCGATCTAAACCGGAATCGACCGTTTCAACATATATTGTATTTGTAATATATATATAATCTAATTATCTAATGATATTAATAAGTATAATAAATTATTAACCTTAATTACTTAACTTTATCGTCTTTATAACCTAAGTTTGTAAACTCTTATTGTATATAATCTTAACTCTAACTCATTATTCTTAAAACCTTAGGCTCTGTTTGGTTGTGAATTCAAAATGTAATTCCACATGTGTATTTCAGTATGATGTTTGGTTGTGTGTTTGGAATCAACTTTCCAAACTTCTGCAGAGAGATTTAATATTTTTATATAGATTAATGATTATATTTAAAAATGGTTCAAGTTTAAAAAATTCTAAATTGATTAAACCACACCGAATCAAACCGTTTGATTCTGTTCGGTGCGGTTTGATGTGAGAAGCGGTTTGTATCGGTATTCAAAATAACAAAACTGGCATTATCGGTTAGGTGTAATTTTTTACCTAAATACCAACCGTACTGAACCGATTACATCCCTAATGGTATTGGACTTGGACTTACATTTCCAAACAAAAACAAAATAAAAAATTATAAACTTGATCATATGGTTTGAGTTTTGTTTAATAAAAATATTTTGGAAAAACTTAAAAAAAAAAAACTCAAATTTGATCTTTATAATTAAATAAACTCGAAATTTTTTATTTTGTCAATTTAAATCATAATTTTTTAATTTATTTTCAATCTAAATCATTTGTTTATTTCTGTCAAATAAAATTGTAAAAAAAAAAATATTTTAAATATCAAACTCAATATAAATGCACATAAAATGTTTAAAAATATTGTTTTTTTACTGCGATTAATGACTAAAATATTTTTTTTCATCGATTTTATTTAACAAATATAGATAAATGTTTATATTAAAAAATAAATAAAAAATATTATTTTTTTACTGCGATTAATGACTAAAATATTTTTTTTCATCGATTTTATTTAATAAATATAGATAAATGTTTATATTAATAAATAAATAAAAATATTAAGATTTAAATTGAATAAATTTAATATTTAAAATTTATTTTGTTATAGGGGTCAAACCTTGATTTTTTTTGGTGTGTAATTTTTCCTTATATTCATAAATTTTTTTTGGTGTGTAATGTTTTGGGTGTCTCTTTAATGTATTCAAAATTAGAAGCTTATTTTTTTTAAAACAATACTTTTATAAGACTAATAATACATAGTTTATATTCATAAAAAAACAATAAAAATATAAAATAAAGCACATATATATCAGTGTATACTCAGAAAAATATTTTTAAATTAGTGCTATTCATAATTTTATAATTAAATTTACAAGTAATTTTCCTTATAATTTAGAGGAAATTACAAAAAAAAGTCAAAAGAAAGACAATTATTTATCAAAATATTGAGATGTAATTTCTGTTATAATTTCTTTACGCAGAAAAAATTATACTTTTGTTTTTCTAATATATTTTTTAAATATTTTACCCTTAATTAATTTTTTTTCCCCATAATCTATGAAAAGGTATGGATGAGCTCAGTGGGGGCTGTGGCACCTACATCAACCCCTAATTTTGGTAGCCTCATCTATAACAGTGTCATTACACCAGAAATTATTCATTGCCCAAGAGCATTATTGATCTACATTATTCATGTTTAGGTTCCGTTTAGTAATTTTTAATTTTAATTAAAAAGTTATTGTAAATTATTAAATTATTTTATCTAATTTATTATATAATTTTTTTAAAAAAATTTAAAAATTATTAAAATAATTTGTTTTCAAGTGAGGCGTTAAACAAGTGTCAGTTACCTTTCTAAAGAAACAAGCAAGTAGTGAGAATTTATTGTTTCAACCAATAATATTTAGGTTAGGGCATCACCTAGATTTGCCCTTGCGACAATGAATAATTTCTCGTCGGTGTGAACAAGTACAAGGGCAGTTTCGTCAATTAACTAACATGTGGGGGCATTACTGATGATGGAATAGCAGAGAGAGAGAGACAGAGAGAGAGACAGAGCAAAGCAAAGAAGGAAAGAATAGTAGGAAAGGGAGAGAAAAGAGAGACGGTAGAAGACAAAGACTTCTAGAGAGAGAAGAAGAGTAGAGGGGAGAGAGAAAGCTCCACTCAGCTTCGTCTTCTCCAGCGCGATCGGATTCTCAGTGATCCATCAATCAATTTTTGGAACTCTTCAGTCTTCACATTATCATCGACTGTTCAAAACCCCTATCCGCTAATTCCATTTTTCTCTTCTCTCCCCCAAATTTTGATCCTTGGATTTTTTTGTTTTTTTTGTTTAATTCGTCGATCGGTTTATCGGCCAATAATTTGAGACCTTTTAAAATCCTAATTTGCGGCCCCTCATATTTCAAAACCCTAATTTCGAAATCTCTGAAACCCTGATTTTGATGGCAGCAGCCGCTAATCACTCTCCTCGGAATTCCGGCAGCAGCGGCGCCGGCGCTGACGTCTCCTCCGCCGCTCTCAACAGCCCCCATTCGAAGCGAGGAGCGGCGGCGCGTGGTGTCTCGTCTCCATGGTCACAGGTCGTTCGAGGAGCCGATTCGGAATCGATCGTCTCCTCATCTGCCCCTCCCGCCTCCGCCGCACCGCCGCCGGCTGTATCTCCTTCATCTCCATCGGCATCGGCTACTTCTCAGGGACTAATCAACAATACTTCTCCTGAGTCGTCACCTTCGAAGGCGGCGGCGGCGGCGGCGGCTTTTTCTTCATCATCATCATCCTTGTCTTCGCCAGATGATCATGCGGTTGAGGCTCAGTCGGAGAGTACTGATTGTGGTACTGGAAGTAGCAATGCGGCTAAGAAGCCGGCTTGGAACAAGCCTTCGAATGGCGTTGTCGAGGTTGGACCAGTCATGGGGGCTGTTTCTTGGCCCGCTCTCTCTGAATCTACTAGAGCTTCTCCGAAATTGTCTTCTTCTGATTCATTCAAAGCTCTACCCGATGCACCAGTCTCTGTCTCACAGGTTGTTTTCATTGTGTTCAACTCTATTTTAGTTAGTTTTAATTTGTTGATGCGAAATCATTGGTTTCTAATATAATTTTTATCTGCATCGCATTCATTTCACTATGTATATGTGTTGGTACTTTAGGGAATTGGAATTGCATCTTCTTCTACACCAAAACAGGTCGTCACAAATAATACAAACCCTAGTTTAACTCCGAACCATGTAACACCCACACGCCAGAAGTCTATGAAGCGTGGTGGTGGGAGTTCAAGCGGAAATGTAACAGCTAACGGTGGCTTCCCTCAGCCGCCCCCACTGGGTTCAGTAGTGGAAATGCCGTCTAATAATTCTGGAAAATCTGGGTCAGCTGTTCCGGAGTCCTCTCCAAGAGATCAAAGTGGACAAAGGGGAGGATTTGGGTCACAACCCAACAGTGGGAATGATCACCCGCAGCAACGCAATTCATTTAGAAGGGGCAATGGTGGTAACCATCCTCGCGGTGATGGTTCTTATCATCACAATTATGGTGGCAGGCGGGATCAGGATCGTGGGAATCATGAATGGAATTCTCATAGAAGTTTTAATGGCAGAGATCTTCACATGCAGCCACAAAGAGGTGTTTCTAGGGGCTTCATACGATCCGCACCACACAGTCCTACCCCATTCATTCCTCCTCCACCAATGCCTGGGCGACCATTTGGCAACCCTATGGTTTACCCTGGTAATATTTTTGATGTTTCGTAAGTTCAATGTTTGGGTTTCCGCTAACCTCTCGTCATCTGTTTGCAGAAGTGCCTTCTCCGATGATTTATGTTCCCACTCCGCCTCCAATTGTTGCTGCAATGCCGTCTCATGCTATGTTTTTTCCTCCTCTCCACGCTCCGGATCCCCAGTTGCCTTCTAAGATAGTTATGCAGATAGAATATTATTTCAGGTACCATATTTTATTGTCTGCCTTGCCTTGTAAATGTAGTCATAACTAGTTAATTCCCTGTTGTTGTTGGGAATTTAACAGCCGGTGCACCTCTTATTTATTTATTGCAGTAATGAGAATTTAATTAAAGATACATTCTTGCGGCAGAACATGGATGATCAGGGCTGGGTTCCCATTAATTTAATAGCAGGCTTCAAAAAAGTGAGTTTTTTTGGGATAATAGGTAGTTTTCTGCTTTTTTTTCCTTGATGATAAGAGTTCTGATATTTATCAAGCATCCTCCCTTTATAGGTAATTCATGAAAATGAGTTTCTTTTCCATCTCAAGTCACTTCTGCAGCGTAGATGGTATTTGGTATCATCAAGCATGCAACTATTTATCAAATTGAGTATTTTAATCATACATTGTGAATGACAAAATGGGGCATAATATCGAGGGTATACATTAAGCTCTCCGGCAATTTTTTTTTGGATCATGTCTTGCATTTAAGATCCTTGAACTTTAGATTGTGATAATTTTATTTTTAGCTTCTTTGTGTTTTCTTCTTATATTATGTCTATGTTGATGACCTTCAGGTTGACTTCCCCCGCCCCCCCGCCCCTGCTCCGAGTTATTGTCCTATAGGTGATATTGTGTGCATATTTTAAGATTCGACTCGTGTCGTAGAGAAACCCGATCTGAGTTATTGTCCTATAGGTGATATTGTGTGCATATTTTAAGATTCGACTCGTGTCGTAGAGAAATAGATGGAAGAACCGATAAGTTAAAACCTTCATTTCCCCAGCAATTCTGATTTACCATGAATTACATTTTAAGGGCATTGTTTTGTGATTTTTCCTTCTTTGGGTTGGAGTCATGCTCTATGGGACTGATTGTTGTGATCCCGTGGCTTGACTTCTTATACTACTTTCAGGTCTGCACTGTGTATTTAGTAAGAATCAGTCTCATCTCTTTAAGCTTTATTGTTTCATATTTGCTAAATGAAGCTCTACATGGCTGCTTGTTGCTTCTATGGAAGGGAGACCAGTAAGCTTCAATGTTCTCGTGTTAGGCTTGTTTTAACTTCTGAATGGTAGCCTACTAACCTTATTATTGACCTCCTTATCATTCCTTGATTTGTGTCTCAATGCAGTTTATATGTGGAACTTCATATTTTAAGACGATGTTCCAGCAAGTTAATAATTGGGATTACGATTCCCTTCACTGTCTTTCTGAGCCAGACATTCTGCATTTGACTTTATTTTGACTAAGGTCTCGTTTGGCAAGTGACTATTTTAGCCTAAAAGCCAAAAAGTTACTAAAAAAATCAAAAAACTAATAACTTATACCAAAAAGTCAAAAATTCCCTTTTCTCTCTACTTTTTGCTTATCTTTTCGTAAAAATTCAAAAAGTCATCATAAACATATTAGTTTTTTTTATCTCATATTTTAGTCAAAAAGTCAACAAGTTACTAAAATAGCCTGTTTCCAAACGAGGCCTAAATCTGCATTCATATTTGATTAGTAGATTTTAGTACTGACGTGTCTACCTGCTTATGTTTGGGATTGCCCATTGGAGGTGGTGAGAAAATGAGTAGGCTTTGGAGCCTTTTGGGACGTGATGGTGTTCTGATATGGCATTGAATCACTGAAGAAGTGTTGGGTGAAAGCAGAAGCAGTTAGCTAGAGAGAGAGAGCAATGACTTAGTGAGTGATAACTAAAGCACGAGTGGAATATACTTGACTATGCATTTCTTGTGCTAGGAGAGAAGGCTTTCTATTTTTAGTAGGGTTGAACCCCAGAGGGTCAGGCCACATAGAGCTCAATCATGTGCCTGGATAGGATCAGGGGATAGGTTGATACTCACTTTTGGCTGATAGTCTACTGCAGAGATCACATGTGATTTAGAGGCTGTGATCACATGTGATTTAGAAGTGTTGGGTGAAAGCAGAAGCAGTTAGCTAGAGAGAGAGAGAGCGATGACTTAGTGAGTGGTAACTAAAGCACGAGTGGAATATACTTGACTATGCATTTCTGGTGTTAGGAGAGAAGGCTTTCTATTTTTAGTAGGGTTGAACCCCAGAGGGTCAGGCCACATAGAGCTCAACCATGTGCCTTGATGGGACCAGGGGATAGGTTGATACTCACTTTTGGCTGATAGTCTACTACAGAGACCATATGTGATTTAGAGACTGTGACGACTTATTGATATATAATTTGTCGCTCATCGTGACTTGGAGACTCTTCATGTGGTGGAACCTCTCTAGCTGATATCAGTCAAGGTGCATGTCCTTGAGGGAGCATAGGACGATACGCCTTGACGAATACTCTAGCTCTAGCTACCAAGCCATAAATTCTTCCTAAAACTAAATATTTGGATATTGGGATTATGTATACGAAAGTTGAGTACAAGTACATAGACACTTCTGCAGTATATAAATATATTGCGAATTTTATGATATTTTGGCGTAAGGTATAAATTATTAAGAATATAATTTAAATTATATGGGATTTAGGGAAAACATGGATTTCTATCTCATCCATGTCAAAGAGAGTATTTTAGAGAGAGAGAGAGATGACGATGATGCTTGTGGAAAGTAGCGGCAGACGAGATGTAGAAGTTGGCAATGGTGGAAATGAATTGACTATTCTCCGCATGCCATAAAGTTGTATGTTTATGAAGCGTCATTTGATCTAGTAATACTTCATATGTTCGTTTCCCTTGGAACGAAATGTGTGTGTGTTAGTGTGTGTGTGAGAGAGAGAGAGAGAGAGAGAGAGAGAGAGATTGCAACTAAACTATAGATGGGGCATAACTTTTGAGTTCTTTCATGGTCTTTTGTTTGTCATCTAACCTTGCCTGTCTCCATGAAAAATCCGTTGCCCCGCTCTTCTTTTCTAGTATTCCTATTGTTTGCTTCTGTTTGTGCTGGTTCTGTGGCTTTTTTGGCGCAAACTTGGTAAATGTTAATACCATATTGTTACTTAAACAAAATAGTGGGAATTTTTTTATTTTTTATTTTTTTTATGGATGATCCATTCATAAATTGAACTATAATGCTTTTGACATTTATGATATAGTGATTTATAATTGAAGAAATAGTAATTTCTATGTTGAATGATGCTTAAATTGTAGATTGAGTGAACTATGGCTCTAGTTCCTAGTGAAATTGATGAAAGTATGGTTCTACTCCAGTTTTTTGTTATTTTTTAGTATTAGTTTTCATTAATTTTTGCTTGTTTATGATATAGGTTTAAGCTTATTTTAGTGTTAGTTTTCATTATTTTTTGGTCATTTGTGGATAAAAATTTGCAAATTAAAAAATATATAAAAAATTAGGTATATTTTGTATGATTGTCATGTCTGTATTATATATATATATAGTTGTGGGAAATCGTTGTTTCCCATAAGCCTGTCCTTTTTATGCTGTGTAGTTTACATCAATTTTCTATTGAGAAAGATGGTGGAAATGTCTACTTTTTGACACAAGAAATGCCATAGATAAATTTAGGGCATTACTTGGGAAAAGTGATTACCCAATAAATAAATAAATAAATTGAAGAAATACAATAGTACAAGCTTTTAAATTGCTATCATGTAGACCCAAAGTCATAGTGTATGTCACTTTTGTCTTGAATTTTGCTTAGTTCCCACTATTTTATCCCCATAATACCCCAATCTCCAAATTTTAATCTAACACTAACATCAGCCAGCACTACCGTTATCTCCGCCACCCCTCCCTTCCCCACCACATGCTCCTTGCCTTTTTTACACCCTTCCTCCGCTTGCCCCCACCCTATGCAACCATCCTTGATGCCTCCCCTCCCAGACACCCTCTGCCTTGCCTCGCCTCGCCTTTTCCCCCATCCCTACCCCTGCATTCCCTTCCAGCAGCCTATATGGGCAGCCCGACTATCATTTTCCTCTCTGATTTCTCTCCCTCCCTCCCTCCCTCTCTCCCTCTCTCTCTCTCTCTAAGGAAGGGGAGTCGTCGTGGTGGGGAACGTGAGTTCATGCTGGTGGGGAGGTGCTAATGGCTGGTGATGGGGCCAGAGCTGGGGAGCAGCAGAAGGTTGCAGCCAACAGTGAAGTTGGCTAGAGGGAAGGTGTGTACAATTTGTCCTTAATGGTAATTTGTTCAAGGGATGCAATTGTAATTAAAAAAAAAATCAGAAAATGGTGCGTGCTGAGACAACTTACGGTGTGTAAATAAAAGGTGCCTTATTATTTTTGAAGTTCCATCATTACTTTCCCATATTACCCTTCTTTAAATTTAAACATTTTTCATAAAATAAAATTTTCAGTAAAGTACAGAGGCGCATCTTCATAAACTTTATACAAAGATGCTTTCCTTGAACTGTCTATAATCAAATGCCACAGAAAAGTGGTGGGAGGGAGCATAAGCAAATGGATATGTTTGGAACAAATGACATGTTCTTAGGGTATTTTAGTAAACATATACAAAATATGCTTTCCATCTTTCCTGTGATTTTGACAAGTTGGATCTGCTTTGTTTTGTCATCATATCTAATAAATCAGGTAAAAGTATTTTTTCAAAGATTGTCTTAATTTTCTACAATATATTGTAATATGTTTTAAGCTTTTGCTACCTTTAATTTGCATCATATCGAATAAATCAGTAATATAGTATTTTTTCTCAAATCTAGGTTGTCCTATATTCTGCAATATATTGCAGTTTCTTTTATGTTGTTGCTATCTTTATTTTGCATCATCAATGCTAATGTAATAAAGTGAACCATGATTATGCAAAATAAAGTGAATCTTATGATTCATGATTCAATATGATTCACAATTCACTATTTTAACAAAATCATTCATGCTTTGATTCGCAATTGACAACAATGGGGTTACGTACCACGGGGGAGAGGATAAAATCATCTCTCTGTTGCATGAATTGGGTGACACATCTTGTAACTAGTGATGTTTGAATGTTGCAACAATTCATCCATTCACCTCGAGATAGATGAAAGATGCTTTTTTTGTATTGGAAGTATATGGTAGCATTTTTTGTATTCCAGTTTAACAGTTGAAATCCAGAGCTTACTAAATGGCATCCTTGTTTTCTGGCCATGAACTTAAGTTATGTAACTGAATTTGATATTGTATGTAAGGATTGGTCCTTGTTTACGTGGATGTTGGATGCATTAGCCAGTGACATTTTTCATTTTCATATTTTGTTTGTGCTTATGCTTGTGTTTGTTTTCATCTGATTGTTCTCTTTCAACCACCTCCCTACTATCTTCAGGTATTCTCCAAAGCCTGATGTGATATCTGGATGCTTGTCTGTTTGATTAGTTGGATTAATTGTACCTTGTAATGTTGTCCTTTTGGTGATCTCTGGTCCTTTCTTCCTTCAATTTTAACGTTTTTTTTTAATGCATCTTATACTTATTTCAATTCATATAGTTAGTGCAAGGCTTAGAGCTGATGATGGGATTGTTCAGATAGCTCAGCATGAGTGTGAATCTGGAGTTTGAAGTACTCTAATGCAATGTTATTAAAGGCGCGCACTTAGGCCCAAGTCCCATCCAGGCCCAAGGTTTGCTCCTTGTAGTTTTCTAGGCCAGGTGACTTCAATAAGGCGTGCCTAGGCGTGCGCTTAGGCTCAAGTCCCATCCAGGCTTAGGGTTTGCGCTTTGTAGTGTTTCAGACCAAGCGACTTCGATAAGGCACACGACTAGTCCAAGGCGCAGTTTGGCCCAAGTCTTGAGGGCTTTTTTTATTGTTGCTTTAATTGGTTTTGTTTAAAATCTAACCATTGATTTAAGATAATGCAACTACAAAAGATCCCTACTCTTATTACACATGCCAATACATTGGGCATTCAACCATAAATCAATGATAAAAGAAAAATTAGCCCTAATTCCTAACCTCCAAAGAACACTTTACTATACTGCATTCCTTCATTATCCAGTCCAGCAAATTCAAAAATTCTTCACGTTGTCTTTTTTTTTTTTCTCTCTCTTCTTCTTACATTTATGTTCCATTCTCTTCTCTACTTTTCTCTATCTTCTTCTTCACATGGCAGTGATGATATTGCCTTCTTCTTCTTCTTCTTCCATCTTCTTATGTTTATTCTCCGGTCTTCTTTTCTTTCTCATCATTCTTTAGACTGATCTATTTCTGCCCCCCTCTTCTTATTCTTTTTCTCCCCTCTCATTTTATTCATGTTTTATGTTAAATTTTGAAATATTGTTCATTTGTCTATGTTAAAATAGTAGTATTTGTTGGTATATATATTTTAAATGTTTAAGATTTCATTTTGCTTATGTTGAACCCTAAATTATTTAGTTATATTAAATTATATTTTTTTTACGTACAAGATGCGTCTCGCCTTGCGCCTTGAGCCTAGGCCCTACCCTAGGAGACCTTGGCACCTTGGTGCGCCTATCGCCTTTAATAACATTGCTGTAATGTCTGAGTCTAGAATGAATGACTTTGAAGTATTCTTACATTTGTGGTATTGCCTAGTGAATTGCAAATTAAGTGGGCATAGATTAATTTGATTTCTCTCCTGGTAAGAGTCTTGGAACACTTAGTGGGCTTAGTGTATAAAATAAGGTAAATGAATTCATGTTTCATCATTACTGGATATCTCATTTTCAGGGTTGCTTTATTTATGTTGATAGGATCCTTAGCAATTTTTCTATTTATTTAGGCCTCGTTTGGCAAGTGGCATTTTTAGCCAAAAAGTCAAAAAATTACTAAAAAAACTAAAAAGCCAATAACCTATACCAAAAAGTTAAAGATTTCCTTTTCTCTTTACTTTTTGCACATCTTTCCGTGAAAAGCTTAAAAGTCATCCCAAACATACTAGTTTTTTTTATATCATATTTTAGCCAAAAAACCAAAAAGTTACTAAAAAAAGCCTGTTCCCAAACGAGACTTATTTTTTAAAGCTTTTGAAGTTTTATCTGTTGCATATTCTCGAGTCTTTAATTAAAGCAGGTTTATTAGTTTGATATTGTTTATTAGTTTCATATTTATTGCCGACTGTGATAATACAGATATGCAACTTATAGCTTGCTCGGCTTCAATAGCAAATTTCTTCTTTAGCTTTTGATAAGGAAGTCATTCCTTGGCTTCTTTTACAGGTTATGATTTTGACAGACAACACCCAGTTTATATTGGATGCTGTGCGTGCTTCAAGCCTTGTGGAAGTGAAGGTATATTCAAATGTCTACAGAGAATTATATTCACTCAAAGTTCAATGAGTTTTGTTTTATTAGTTTTGGTGCTTGCACAATGGTGGAAAGAAGTGGGTCCATGGCCCCTCCAAAGCTCCGAAATATATTGCAGTTGTACATAAATTTTGCTCTTATATATCATTCCCCACTGGCTACCAAACTCTCTTGAATAGTCGATGTGGAAAACATTGTGAATACACAAAACATTAGAATTGCTGCACTCGACTGAACAGTAATATATAAAAACATTAAACAACAAATACTATAATGATACTTAACCAAAAAACACTATAATAACTGAATTCATGTATGAGTGAGCCAAGGCTAAATAATGAAACATAAGGATATCATCAATAGTCAGTATGGCATTAGTATACCTCTACCATAACAACTCTTCTTTTTTTTCTTTTTTTTTTTACCCTTTCTGTATTTGATATGGTTCTGAAAGTTCAAACAGGACTGGGTTTCTTAAATGAATTGTGTTTAAAATGGAGCTTTACTTAAATGTTTCGACATGGATCTACAAGAGGTCATCAAAACAATTCATATCATTGGTCTCTCACATAGCATTTTAGTATCATTGGATGTGTCTTTGTTAAGTCTTAGACTTCATTATTCTTTTGTTGTAGTATTTGAGTGCTCTATTTATTGCTTTGTTGAGTCCTAACTTCTCTAGTGCTAGATAGATTAGGTTAACTTCTGGAGTGCACATATATATATATATATGTATATGTATATAATGTGGATTGAACAAAATTAACACGATTTTGGTCCTTGCACGTAACTTGGCCCTTCGATATTTAATTCTTGCATCCACCATTGTGCTTGCATGCAAGTCCTCTAAGGCTCTGGGATTACTAAGTCAGCTTGGCTTGGTACATATAAACATCAGAGGTTCCCACCTAGTACTTCCTCTTATTTTTGCACCTGTGAAACCAACCATATAGCTTGCTTATTCAAGGTTACTAATTTTTAAATTAATGACATTATTATTATTATTATTATTATTATTATTATTATTGTTATTATTATTATTATTCTTTTTTGAGTGTCGTTATTAAGTCGATTGTGGTACCAAGTTTGTTACCTTTACAAATTGTTGCTTTCTGATTTGTTCATATAGGATGTCTAATTTCTTGTTCCCTTCATGTTTTTCAGGATGATAAAGTAAGAAGGCGTAATGATTGGTTTAGATGGATCATGCCTTCTTCTGTTCAGTTTGCTCCTGTCTCTAGTCCTCAATCCATTGGAAGGTCCAGTCATGACATGCTTGCTGCCAACATCCAGAGTATGTCATTCGAGGAGATGACAAACAGACAAGGTCAGTCTGAGGCATTCCTAAGCAGATCATCGTCTGGGGATTTGAATATACAGCCTCAAGCTGGTTCTGAGCGTGCTATTTTAGCACGTACTTCAAGTAAATGAGAATCGTGCGCTATTGCACGTTCTGTCATGATTGGTTTTTGAGAGGGGTGGAAGTAGGGAGGTGCTTGATGACAGCCACTGTCTTGTGTATTTCTTTGGAGATAATGGTCTTGGTCTTTGGCATGGCGTGATGAAACATGATGTCTCGCGGGGCACATAGACACAAAATTTAAAAGGGAAAATAAAAGTGGAAAAACTTATTAAAAATAAAAGAAACCATAAGAAGGGAAAAAAAAACTAGAGATGTTATTATGACTTATATAAGGTAGTAAGTAGCAAGAGATTGTTGGGATGTATGTATGATTTTGGTGAGGACCATTGTTGTCTTTTTATTTTCATGGTTATTCATTGAGACTTTTGTGTTTACTTTTGGGGAATTTTGGTTTTGCTTCCCCTTGCCTGCCCCTCGGCTGTTGTTATCATTGTTATTGTTATTTTTTTTATTTCAATGTCTCTGGGAGTTGGATTACCTCCCATCTTAGGAAGCAAGCATATGAAATAGGGCTAGTTGGTGGTTTTGTCTTCGTGGTTGGAGATGGAAGTATCGACTTTGGTAGATTTTGGTGGTTGTCTTTGTGGTTGGAGATGGAAGTATTGGGATGCTGCTGCTGGTGGTGTTTATGCCACTATTATTATGTTGTTTGCATCGCTATGTACTGAATTAGTTCCCTTTTCTTAATTTTTTATTTTTGTTGCATAATATTTAAAATTGCATTCATGTACATTTTGTTTTCAAGAGCATTTGAAGGCAACTGCATAAAATGCCCTCAAGACGGCGTATCTTAGTGTTCTGTCTTTAAAGTTTGAAGATGTGAAAACTCTGATTTTGTTTGAGTTGAAATTGATTTCCAGTTTTATTTACTTTGGACCTACAGTTCAAAATTCAAATTTTATAAAATTTCTTTATACATCCCACTGAATACCAAAATTGTCTTCAATTCTCTCGAACTCTAAGCCTACTTCGACTGTCATCCCTTTGCCTTGTTGCCACCGCCCTGGCCCCAGGCCTCTCCACACCTCCCCCAACAGTCTCTCTCTCTCTCCACCCACCGGGGTAGGTTGGGTGGCGAAGGGGGTAGCATTGGGGGTGGAGGGTGATGTGGGGTTGGCAGCGGCAGTCGGAGTTGTTGGCGGGTGGTGGTTGAAGTAGAGAGAAGGTTAGGGTTAAGATTTGAAAGGCTTATGATGTAGTATTGAAATTTTATGATAGGATTGAATTGTAATATATGTATAGTGCGTGTATTGCCAGAGGAAGGACCGGAAGAAAAGTGGTGGCAAACAATTACCGGCACTTTTAGTTCAAAAAAATAAAATAAAAAACTATTTTATTGAGGGTAAATTACACACAATCTCCCCTTGAGTTTCATGGTTAAGCAATGTTAGGAATTTTAAATAAATTATTAAATATTTTAGATAAGGTAAATTACATTGACTCCTCTAAAGTTTATGTTTATTACAGTTTTTTTTCTCACTTTTTGGAAATTATATTCTCCTTATAGGGTTTAAAGTTTCATTACAAATTGTTCTCTCCAGCAATTTAATTTTTTTAAATATCAATTTTGCCTTTACTGGGTAAATTACATTGACACTTCTCACATTTTAGAAATTACAATCCCCTCCTCAAAGTTTAAAGTAGCATTATCAATTGTCCCCTCGGTTAGTACTAGTTGAAAAAAAAATTAATTGAAAAAAAATTTTGTTAGTCAAATTTTTAAATTTTTGTTTACAAATCAACGTAAGATAAAAATTACACTGTCACCTCTTAAGATTTATGTTTATTACATTCGAAAGATAAAAATTATATAAAAATGATAATTATTTTTTATTTTTTATTTCTTAACCAAATTATTTTTTAATTTTTTTTAAAAAAAATTCTAAAAATCAAACTATACATAACCTAAGAATCTTTTGATAAGTCATTTCTTATTTTGATAACTTATTTAATTATTTGTCAATTTTACGACATTTTTACCATCTGAGATCTGTTTGGTAACCATTTCGTTTTTAGTTTTCAATTTATATTTACAAAAATTTTAAAAACTGTCATAAAAACTTGTTCGATAATTTTTTTTGTTTATAAATGGTTGTCTCAGTTTGTAAATTTAAGGAAAAAATATAAATTAAAAAAATGAGTTTACGTTGGTTTTTAAACAGAAGTTTAAAATTTTGACTAACAAATTTTTTTTTCAAATAATTTTTTTCCAATGAATTTTTTTTTCAACTAATACTAACCGATGGGACAATTGGTAATACTACTTTAAACCTTGGGGAGGAGATTGTAATTTCTAAAATGTGAAGGGTGTCAATGTAATTTACCCAGTGAGAGCAAAATTGGTATTTAAAAAAATTAAATTGCTGGAGGGAGTAATTTGTAATGAAACTTTAAACCTCAAGAAGGGGATGTAATTTTCAAAAGGTAAGGAGGGAACTACAATAAATATAAATCTCAGGGGTGTCAATGTAATTTACCCTTTTATATAATATTAGCATAGGTGTGTAATTACTCACATTATTGTACAAAATATTTAATAATTTATTTGACGTATCTATCATTTTGTTTTAATAAGAAAATATAGGGTAAGCAGTAGTGATATGATTTCAGTTGTATTGAACTTGTTTTTGCCCAGAAGAACAACTCTTAGAATTCCTCAAATCCCTTTTCCAAGTAGCATGTCAGCCATACTACATACTTGTCGCAAGAGAGCTCCACGAAGATGAAAACCCTCACCTTCATGCCATGGTTCAATGCACGAAGAAGATCCAAATCTCTAACCAGAGATTTTTTGATTTCACCAGAACCAATTGGAGGATCTATCATCCAAATATAGAAAAACTTCATTCTCCAACAGCAAAAGTTGATAGTATGTACAGAAACGGGGCGACTTCGTAGAATAAGGAGAATTTTCATCTATGGGGAAAAGTCCTTCGAAAAACATAGATGAATTCTAGCGACGAATACTTGCAGAAGCAGAAAATGATAAACAATTCTTTGCACTCTGCAAAGAAAGATGTCCCACTGATTACGTCACAAAATACCCCAAATTAAAAACATTTTCGAGAGATCATTACAAACGAGAGAGGTCCCCACATACTAGTCCCTTTAATTCATTTCTTTTTTTTTAAATGAAGAAGTAAAAAAAAAATGGACAGAAAATAATATTTTGTTTGTAAGTCAAAATTTTGTAAAATACGAATTATGTCAAGATTATTGTTTCTCTGTTTACAGTGAAGACGACAACGTTAGATTAAGGATACACAGGAATAATATACACGATTTATATACTGACGAAGAACTCTCCTCTTCTTCTAATAACAGGATCCGAAACAGCAGCCCAATGTCCCTTTACCTCGAAGGACCCTCAAGAACAAGAAAAATTGCCTGGGCCAAAAGTCTTGGATGACACAATTACTTCTCCGACATAATAAGTTTCAAGGACTACGATCAAGACACCGCTTGCAACGTCATAGATGACATCAAATACTTGATAGTCCTTACCAAACTAATGAAAAATTTAGTAAGTTGCTAAAGAGACTTTCATGTATTTGTTAAATTCCAACCAAATCTCATTATTAGAGAAGGGATTCCTTGTGTTATATTAATTAATGGGGACAGTAATTGGTTAGATGCAATGTCCCAAAAAATGAGAGAATAGTTTGATACTGTTATGATTAATGAAATTTTTTATTAATTTTATTTATGAAACCACTCAAATTTTTATTTGCTTACTACATTTCCCTTATCATCAACTATTACATCTTGAGTCTCATCACTATTTTTTACATTTATTATTACATTTCGTAAAAATTAGAAAATTCTGCAGGATCCATAACAACTGATCCTCTCCGATCAACTTCTTTTTTTCTAACACCAACCTCCGAAATCGATGAACCAGGATCAACATCACTAGTTCCATCACCACCTCTATATACATCAATCTCAGACAAACTCAGACGACCTCTGCATTCATGAATAACTAAACCACTTTTCCCAAAACTTTCTTATAACAAATCTCTTCGCCTCTCCAGTAAAGCCATAGACATAATCCGGGTCAGAATCGGAATGGCCTTGGTTGGAGCATAATGCCAAACATCAACATTATCATTAGTACATTTTTTAGATAATACAATAATAGATGGGGTCCTCATCTGCAAATCTTCTGGCATGTCACTCATAAAACATTTGATAGGTGAGAAGAATTTACTTTTGCAGTGGGATAACTATTAGGAGTGTGACTTTTGCTCATAAAAGAGCTTAAAGAAGTTAGATTTACCAAGCAGTTAGATCCCTTAGCCCAGGGGGTGGGGAGTTTCTTGCTTAAAGTGAGTGTGAACATGAAACCCCAGCCGACCAATGTGAATATACTTTATATATAGAGGATAGTGATAGAGAGTTTTAAAATTAGAGTTCTAATAGGAGCTTTAGTGATGCGATAAAAAAAATAAATAAATAAACTAAAATATCACATCATCATGTAGAAATGATACATCCTTCTAATTTGGAAGCTATAAAAGAACACTAATGATGTGGAAAATAAAAAAATAAAAAATTAAGGTTATAACATCACATCACATGGGACTCACACATCAATTAGAGCTATTAAAACTCCTAATTTAGAACTCCTAATTTTTTTTTTATCATCATGTGAGACTCATCATTAAAACTCTATTAAAGCTTCCAAACATTATTGATATATATATATATATACTCCAAACAACAATTTGAATTGGAGACATATTTTCAAAATAACCCCTATTTGATAAAGTCGTTTAAAATATGGTTTGAGTTGGGTAAATAACTCTTGACAAATATGTTGCTTCCACGAGGGAATACTAAAAAAAAAAAAAATTTATTACCAACAAATTTTTTTTTTTTTGCAATTTGATATGACAAAGTAATAAAATTTTAATATTTGAAATGGGTTTACTAGAATAAAATTATTACAATAGCTCAATTACCATATTAATCAGTAAATTAAATTTTATAAAAGATTATATTCATTTACCATTACTCTTGAAAATATTAGAGTAAATGCTAGAAGTTTTTGAATTTTGCCTCTTTTTTCAATTAGGCCCTCTAATCTAATTGGTTATATGTAACCGTTTTGTCACATTAGATCATTCTATGAAACTCACTCAACACAACTCAACTTACGGTCTCATTTGGAAATAGGAATGGCAACGGGACGGGACGGGACCGGGGATCGCCCTCCCCGTCCCTGATCCCCGATGGGGAACCTATCACCGTCTTTGTCCCCTAACGAGGATCGGGTTTCCCTAACCCCGAAATTCCACGGACCAAAAAAAAAAAAAAACCAAACAGAGAGGGAGAGATCATTATCAACAACATAGATCATCATCAAACAACAGATCAAAAAAATAAATAACAGATCATCATTACAGATAA